TAGATGGAGTGAAAGAGAGATGGATGAACGGGTAGATGGATGGTCAGTTCAAACACAGTTCAACCGAGAAAAGATCAAAAAGACTAAGGTTATGCCGGGAAACAGGCAGCGTAGAGTGATGCAAATTTAAAATTATTCTGGCAAGTGTGTTGAATGCAAATACACAGGACTACAGAATACTACAGGAAACAGTCATGTAGTCATTCTAACAGTGAGTGTGCGTGCTGATTACAAAAAAAAAAGTACAAAATTATACGAGAACACACATTTGTCGACTGTGTATGGCGCATTCATTCATTGGCCTCTGTGTGGGTGCCATCTGTGGTTTCTTAGTGGCTCAGAAAAAACTCCCGAGCTCAACTGTTGCTCTTATCACCTTTCATGAGAAGGAGAAAGGAAAGGTAAGAAGTGTAAAAGTCTGATTGGGAACAAAGCTACAGCCAGCAGCTTACTTTATACTGGCACAGGCCTTCAAAGACCACCATGCATCTTTATCTGGAGATCTGCTCCCCCTCCCCTGTCTTGCTTATGCCAGCTGCTTTTCTTCTCCTAGTCTACCTCTGTCTTTACCCGTTCCTTTCTGTTTTAGCTCTCCATTCTTTTTCCCCCGCTCATTGTGTGTCTCCTTTTCACTTTCCCTAGATTGTTGTGCCTTATGTAGTGAGTAGTGGTCAGCTTCCCCATACTGTATAATGTGTGACTCCAACACCAGTCAGTGTTGGCTGGTTTTCTGTTTAGTAAACTGTATTTCCTGCATCCGGCTTTGTCTCAGGAACAAGTGTTTGTCAAACAAGCCTTTTGTCTGTGGCCAGTGGCTTAGCGCACCATAACGAGCCTGGCTGGGACAAAGAGCTGGGTGTATGTGGCTGTGGCAGAGAAACGCAGACAAACAGATCGAGACGTAGAAGTAAGAAAGAAGGTCAAGGCCAGTCCATTTGCTCTATCAGGTTTCACACACACACAAAGAAAAAAAAAAGCAGAGACAGAGAAAAAAGTTAAGGTGATAACATGTATGAGACATATGACAGATCCTTCTCTTAGTCTCTAAAGCTGCTAATGAAAAATTACAGTTCTGTTGTTAACTGAGCTGAAAGTCATGTAAACCAAGAAGGCCTCTATTGTGAGCTTCTGTTACTCCCCCATCTTTTTCCTCAACCTCTCCTTTCCTGCTTCACCCTTCACCCCTGTCCAGTCCCTGACTGTGAATACCCTAATGACATAAACAGAGTGGTAATCACATTAACAGGAGTTACGGCCGAGGCACTCTTAAGAGGCACTGTATTGACAACCCTCCGTCTTCCCGAGGCACTCACTCCAACACCTATAAACACTTATGAATATTGGCAAAGACCTTCTATTAGCATAATCACTTTTCAGGTGTGTGTGAGTGCTCTCTCGAGCCACAGCGACTGATAACTTTGAGAAATGGCAGTGACACAACTGTGTCCCTCGTGTCTTCTGTCTCTGTGGCTTCCTCCTCCTTTGGAAGCCAAGCAAGCTAATCCTGTTAGCCCATTCCTCCATTAGCTAAATGACCAATATCAGTGAAAGCTGCATGGTCACACCAGGACAGGCTCAGCCCACTATCGCAACTGGTCAAGGACAAAAATAAAAATAAAAATGGAGGTCATGGTAAGTCTGCTAACTTTTTATTGTATGGCTAAATAGTAGTAAACAATACATTTGAGAGTGGTGGGTGAGGAAGAGAAAGCTGTTGACATTTTTGTGTCAGTGCATCTTTAACTTGGCAGCACTTGGTCAATGGGTTGTCTTTGTGTCTGTTACTTGATTTTGTTGTGGTTTTGCCAGTGTTTGGGCTTATGGGACAAAGCGGAACAGGGTGGTATAGCTACTCTTTGTGTAAGTACATGTTGTTGAGAGAGTGCAAGTAAGACTAATTATGGGAAATGGGCCATTAACGATAGAGGAATATGCACAAGCAATGCGTTCCTCAGTTGCCTAGAATTTCTGGATTCTGTATGACTTTGGTCAAAATTGTTGGCTACGATGTTTTGTGAGTGTTGCTGCGAGGCTACCTTATCTTCTCTTTGACTTATCATAATTTCTCTTCTGTCCTTGCAACAGGCCTACTCCTAGATCAAATCCTTTCTCTCTAATATCAGTGCAATGTCCATTAATATCACAATAATAGCCTCCCGCTGCTTTGTGTTGCAATGCTTCGAAAGGCTTTGAAGGAATTGTTAACCTCCCATTTCATTCCTTTGACTGTGTATCTTCTACTTTCTATTTTTCTTTTCTCTGTCATCCTTCTAACTTTTTGCTCCCAAACCACCTGCCCTTTCTCACTTCTTCTATATTCTTTCTGTCTCCTCTTTCCTTCACAGTGTCTTCTTTCAGCCCCTGCCATGAAATGGCAGCTAAGGGGTTGTCAGTGTGGTTTCTCCTCTCTGCTGATCCTATTTCAAAGGGACGTGTAGATTCGGCATTAGCTCCAGCTCTCTTGCTCTTCTGCTCTCCAGCCCTAACTCATCTCAGACTTAAAGTTACTAGAAGAAGAGAAACGGACCGAGAAAGCGAGGGAGAGCTTTCCTTTATTCTATTAGAGGACAGACTCATTTATAAGATCATCCTTCCTCCCTCGCACAGTTTCGTGCTTCTCCATACAAGCAGAAAAAGGAAGAAAAAAAAAACCCTTCAAGGCCATCAAACGCCTCGTCAGAATGTCTTTTATCCTTTTGAAAAGCTGTCCTTCCATCCCTTTGAGGACAGCTATTAAGGACAATAGTGGGCTTATTTAGATATCTCCTCTGCCATTGTTGTAAATCTGGGCATGTGTTGGTCTGGCTTGTTGATGCCCATCAATGTGTCCGCTGCTCAGATGGGAATAACAATTATCATCACTGCTTGTGGCATGAACACAGTTTGTCAAATGTCTATAGATGGAGTAGTGATTGCATAGCACAAGACATGCTGGTTTTGATGCATAAGAAAAGGAATTGAGTACTGGCTTTGAAGTGCATTCTTGTGGCTCTCGTGTCCTTCAGAAATATGGTGGGTTGTCATTAGGAATGTCTCCTTCACGCCACACTTCTCTCCTTTGCTCCCTTCCTTTCCCCCTGCCTCCTTCCATGATCCTTTAGTGCTCACTTTCCTCTAAAAACATGGACGTCTCACATTCCAGCCAGCCCCTCCTTCTTTCTTGTCCTTCACAATAACAAAAAAAAAAAAATCTGTTTCCCCCCTCATGCATATATGCTGTGTGCTCGCACATTAAGACGGGGATGAGGAAGTGTGTAGACTGAATCAAAGCAAAGCGAACGGGAGAGGCCAGGTTATTGCAACTGTTTTACAAGTGACACGGGGCTTTCTACTTAAAGCCATAAAAACACACACATAATAAGGAAACATACATATAGCAGTTAATGTAATGGGCACATTTTATTTGTGCTTATGAGAGAGGGAGAAAAAATGTGTATGGGCAAATGGCTTTTTTATGATGGAAAAATTCCATAGTGGGTCAAAGCCCCTTGCAGGTGGCAGCAATTAACTGTAATTTTTGCAGATTGTAATGATCCATAATTTACCAGTATACCCCCTTCCAACTCTTTTCAGTCAAGAGAAAAAGGTTTGTGTGGAGGTTTGATTGGGTGCACATTTTAGCTGTGTCCTGGTCTTTAAGTGAGATTGTTCGGAGGGGGCCACATTGACTCTGGACACATAAGATAGAGAAACAAACCAAAAAAACACCAATCCGTTCCCTATGTTGCTCATCCACCACATCCCTCCTCTTTCTTTTAGACTGTCACTATATTTTTCTGGCCCCTCTCACCCTTTTGCTTCAACAGTAGAAGGCTTAAAACATGCAAAACTGTCCATCCACCATCTTAGGGATCACCCATAGTTTCAATCAGGCACACATAGCCTATCATCCTCTCTCCCGCTCCCTTGTTTTCCCTCTTCAAACACAGTATGGCCATGGTTTGAGTTCAGCATTGGCAAATGACTTCAGAAAAAATGCCCTCAAGTGAAAGAAGAAAAAAGGGAAGAAATGATAAGAAACCCCAAAGATGAAAGAGGGAGCACATTTGCAAGTGGCGGATGCTTCTTATTTTGCATATCTCTCACTTCTTCTTTCTCCTTCTTCTCCTTTTCTATTCACCTGAGAGGATTTAAATAAATCCATAAAGCATGAAATATCAGAAATAGAAAAGTAATGCATGAAATGCATTTTCATTGGAGCCTCCCCACCCACACACAAACACACATACCCAATTTTCCTCTTCGCTTCTTTTTTTTCCCTGTGAATGTGTGTTTTTTGTGATAAACGCTGGTACAATTTATTAACATGTGACCTCTTATTTGTATTCAGTGTTAATATGCAGCATCAGATACATGTCCCACTTTAGCCCTGCTAATTCTGTAAACAAGGCTTTGGAGGGGAGATGAGTGTTTTTAACCAGATTAGGCGTGCATTGTCAGGCAAATCTCAGGTCAGTGTGCAAGTGCTATTGAAAGTCAATTATTGTTTTAAATATTCCTATGCCTTCTTCCCGTGTAATTTGTGTGTTTGCTGCCTGTCTCTTGTAATTGTGTTTTATCTTTTGTTCTGTTAAGTGTTAAATCTAAATTCACACACACAACACACACACACCTACACACACACACACGCACACACAGTTTTCACATTTTATAGCTGTGATATTGACCAATACCAATTTTACTAAGAAGAATAATTTGCTCTGTTTAAATAGAGTGCAATTGCAAAATTAGTTTTTTTAAATGTTATTCAATACCTTCATCTAATCATAATAGTTCTGGTCAGAAGTGATCGCAGATATTTTATAGGCTGTTGTCAAATTAGTCTATATTCTCTTGGTTTTTGATAATTACTTTACCTATTTTAAAACCCTACTTGCATTATTTAAGCATCATGTTTCCTTTTATAATAATATATAGTTTTTAAAAAATTACTAATGTTCTTTTTAGCTTGAATCTCCCAGTTTACATTTATTTTCTCTCTGTGTGTTTCTTTTTGTCAGATAAAGATGAGCCCAGCAGTTACACCTGCACCACATGCAAACAGCCTTTCACCAGTGCCTGGTTCCTGCTCCAGCATGCCCAGAACACCCATGGCTTCCGTATCTATCTGGAGAGCGAGCCCGGCAGCCCCCTCACCCCTCGTGTGGCTGCAGCTCCCGGAATGGGGGGTGACTGTAATTCCTCCCAGCCCCCCCTTTATGCTGTACACTTGGCTGATGGCAGCCCTTACAGCCTCCTGAGAATGCCGGGTTCTGGGTCTGGTCGGGATTCAGCGTCCACGCCTCGTGAGGGCCGCTATCCCCGAACGCCACCGCTATTCAGCCCACCGCCGCGCCATCACCTCAGCCCTGATGACTTAGCCTTGGCAACACACCATCCCAGTGCTTTTGACCGGGTGATGAGGCTGAACTCTGTGCCATTAGAAGCCCCTCAGACCATGGACTTTTCTAGACGTCTACGTGAGCTGGCCGGAAATGCCACAGGAGGTTCTCCGCCTCTTTCCCCTAACAGACCCAACCCTATGCAACGGCTGCTGCAGCCTTTCCAGCCAGGTTCTAAGCCTCCATTTTCAGCAACACCTCCCCTCTCCACCTCTCAGTCACCTTCTGGCTCACGTTCCACACCTAATCCTGTAACAAATGCAGTCCAATCGACCACCCCTCTCAAAGCAAAATCTTGTGAGTTCTGCGGGAAGACCTTCAAATTCCAGAGCAACCTTATTGTTCACCGGCGTAGCCACACGGGGGAAAAGCCATTTAAGTGTCACCTCTGTAACCATGCCTGCACACAGGCTAGCAAACTAAAACGTCACATGAAGACACATTGTCAGAGTAAGTCTTCACTCCTTAATGCCAAGTCAGATGATGGTCTTTCAACTGCTAGCTCACCTGAACCTGGTACGAGTGAGCTGATGGGCAGTGCCACAGATGCACTCAAGTCAGTGGTGGCTAAGTTCAAAAGTGAGAACAATGGCCTTCTGCCTGAAAATGGAGAGGAGGAGGAGGAAGAGGAAGATGATGAGGAAGAGGAAGAAGAAGAAGAAGATGAGGAGGAGGAGGAAGAAGAGGAGGAGGGGGAGGAGGAGGAAATTGAAAGAAAGCCTGGAGTAGAAGAAGAGGGAAGGAATGACTACCGATTTAGCTTGAGGCTTGAAGGGGCTCGCCATCACCAGAACAGCGAGGCTCTGCACCCACATCGCCGGAGCTTATCCAGGGAGCCTATTGATGAAAACTCAGCCATGGAGTCAGACCAGGCAGATGACGGAACCACTACTACTATCAATGGCTTGAGACCTCTATCTAATGACAACCTGTCCAGGAAGCTGTTGGGTGGAGGGGTCAGTCCTGGTTCCCTCAGTCCCCTGTCCAAGCGCATCAAGGTAGAGAAAGACCTTGACCCTCCCACTCCCACAATCCCAAACACAGAGAACGTCTACTCTCAGTGGCTCGCTGGCTACGCTGCCTCCCGGCAACTCAAGGACCCCTTCATCAGCTTCACAGGTGGGGACTCCAGACAATCACCCTTTGCCTCTTCATCTGAGCACTCTTCAGAAAACGGCAGCTTGCGCTTCTCTACTCCACCCGGTGAACTCGACGGGGAACGTGCCGCATCAGTACGGAGCGGCACCGGCAGCGGGTCCAGCACTCCCCACGGTGTCAGCGGCAATGGCAGGCCGAGCTCGAAGGATGGTCGCCGCAGTGACACCTGTGAATTTTGTGGCAAGGTGTTTAAGAACTGCAGCAACTTGACTGTGCACCGACGCAGTCATACCGGAGAGCGGCCCTACAAATGCGAGCTGTGCAGCTATGCTTGCGCTCAGAGCTCAAAGCTCACCCGTCACATGAAGACCCATGGACAGATGGGCAAGGACGTGTACAAATGTGAAATCTGCCACATGCCTTTCAGTGTATACAGCACTCTGGAGAAACACATGAAAAAGTGGCACAGCGACCGCCCTCTGGCTAATGACATTAAGACTGAGTAGGCAAAGAGCAGCATGCTGGTTGCTCTCTCTCAGCTCCTCTGGCTAAAAAGCAACCCTGGCTAACTAGCCAATAAGTAAGGGGAAAGGACAACAGGGTTAGACACCAGTACACAGTACAGCCCTGTTTTCATCCCGACTGGAAGAAGCTAGATGCATGATCCATTACCGGGGCAATACTATTGCATCACACTTAAAACTTTTTGAGCCTTTCTATTGTGCAATAATTTACACGTTTTGTATTTTTTGTAACTGGACAGCATGCTCTGTGTGTTTTGGCTACCTAGAGAGAAAATTGTCCTCAGCTGGTGGGTTTGGTTGTACATGTGTTGCTGTTTATACTTTTGATTTCTTCAACGTAAAAAAAAAAGACTTATTAAAACCCATGCTGCATACAGTACATACTGTTTTACATATCATGTACAGTTTTGAGTTCAAACATAGTGGGCAGTGTCATATAATCAAAACATCAAGACAAGCAGGGTCACACTTAAAAACTGATCTTTGTGAAAGATTTTCCATGCAACATTTAGATATGATAAATATATATAGAGAGAATTAGGCTGCCTATGAAATGCTAGGCACTGGCGCCATTAAATATTTCTTTTACAAACAGCAGTGAAATTAACAATATGGTGTGAAATGACAACAACGAGTGCCTTGGATATTTTACCTGCATTAGTTAATCCTCCTTTTTGCTATAAGCTCGGAGTTTCAGCTATAAAAGATTACACAACATTTTGTGCACATATGAAATAAGCAGGTCCTTGCATCAAGCACCTGTACGACCCTTGTGTTTTGTTTTTTTTTGACTTAGTGGAGCATAGAGAACCAGCTAAAATGAAAAGAAAAAAAGAAAAAAAAAAGATTACGTGTATCTCTGGTGAATCATTTATCTGCTTGCCTCCTGTAGATTTTTTTTTTCTCGAGATTACAGTTCTGTTTACGGGCATGTTACATGCTTGATTTTGGTGTAGAGTTTTGGTATAGGTGAATATGTTTTTTGGTACCGTACTGAGGGGGTACTCTGGCGAGTTGTTTTACCAACATAAAGCTCTTAATTTTTCAGAGTTTATTTTCTTTGATAATTAAACAATTCGCAGGTGTTTTTTGCAAGTAACACAGAGTAATGTTTCTTTGGTGTCCGCCAACAGCCACTTGAAGACCCCAGTGTGGGATTTAGTTGTTGTAAGCCAGACAGATTTTTTCAGGTGAGGGTTGGGTGGGTGTAAGAGCATAAGGGTGGATGATGTTCAGGGTAGTATGTGGGGAGTGGGTTTACCAGGTGTCTCTACAATTCAAAAATCTATGTCGCTGTAGTGTTATTTCCCGTCACCGCATTAGATCTTAGAAACTGTTTAGCGATCCAAATTTTTTTTAACAACTCACACTGAAATCCAAAATGTGATTCTAAATCAAAGGACAAGAATATTGAAAAAAAATCAGCAAACTTTCCCTCGCAGACAAGGTTTTAAGTTTTCACATTTGGTTTTCTTTTCGTTTGTCTAGACCCACGCGTGGTAGCCATGTTTTTTTTTTTAATTTTTTTATTTTTAGTCTTCACTCCCTGTCATTGTTGATGATATAGCACTTGTCACTCTGCCTTGGATTCTGTATCTGTCTCTCTAATCGGAGGTACAGTCGGTTGAGTATAAAATGAGTACCGGATTTCAGGTCTGGTACTGCCTACGTGCACTGTTCAATTTTCCCAGTTTACAGTCGGACGCTCAAGGGAAAACTAGCTCTTATGCTGACAGATTAGTGTGGTGTCATTGCTTTGCATTAAAAGAAAAAAAAAAAGGAAAAAAAAAGAAGAAAAAGAACGTTGAACTAGAAACTGTTGCCAGCCATGTCTCCTTCTGAGAACTAAACATTGGTTTGGATCTTGGAAGTAATAATGCAGGAACTGCCATAGAAACATCCTGCTTCATACTACAAACTATAGAAATATACTGCTCAGTACAGAAAAATAAAAATTCTACAAATTTGATTTAAACAGATAAGTAAAATGTGCTGTTTTTTAAAAAAAAGTAAAACATCAATATCTTTAGGGGAGAACCTTATTTAAATTTTGTTTGTTTACTGTTGTTTCTCTTTTCTGTCCTGGAGACACCAGGACTTGATCACTATGTAATGAACTGTAATGTCTCTCATGTTTTTTGCCTTTACTATACACAAGTCTTCAGGTTGAACAAAAATTTGCATTGGGGAGAGATTTATGATATATAAATATATAGAGAGAACTTAAAATACTTAGGAAATTGCACACTCATGTAAGTTCCTATGTTCAAAACACATTTATGGTCTACTTTTTTTTTCCTGTATTTAGAATGGTATTTGAAATTAATGTTCACTTAGTGTAGGCACTTATAGTATTTATGTTGGAGCCTGTATTTTTAACTGTTTTGCCTGTACTCTTTAAAGGTTTCAATGTACCCTTTTTCTGTAGTGAAAAAAAAAATCCCAACAAGCTGCCACCGTATATTTTCTTAATTTGGCAGGATAATATAGTGTGAATAATTTGTATGCTTGAAAATAAGTATTTCTGAAAAATAAAATGTTGTGGTGTTCCCCAAGGGTGAGAGGTCATATGATGGCCTTTTCAGGCAGTCCCGCTGGAGTGACCACAATGAGGTAAAAACAGGTGGTTGTACATATCTTTTTAGTTTGTTTTATATATTTTTCTCTCCTGCCATTTTATATGCAGTAATACAAGCTATTGTTGGGTTTCCTTGGTAGAAAAGTTTTTACTGTCTTTGATCATGTACCACCTAAAAACATTCCAGCTGTTTTGCTTTTTTTTTAAGGACATTTTGTCATATGCAATCAATTCAACATTAATCTGAAAGATTTTTTATTTTATTTTTTTTTTGCTACAGATTGTTTTTTTTTCATTGCCAAAAGATCCACGGTGCTTTATAATTTAAATATGGTACATCTCATATGCAAGGCATATTCTAAATAACTGAAATCATGCGAAGAAAAGTTTGGTACATGTTATCCATGCTGACGGTACTAAGGTACATATAGGTTTTCAACCTGATTTCATCCTGTGTATTTACTCTCAAGCTGTTTGTTCTAACCTGAACTTGAAGTTGACCTTTGGCATTGGTTGACATTATTTATTATGACTACAAACACGCATGTTCCATTCAGAACACAGTCACTGCAAAACAAATCTGTTCAGTTTTCTCTCTCCTGATGAAGTGTGATGGCTTCATTTCTATGATGACCAAAGGTCATTGACCAACATTTACAAGTTCTCGCTTGAATTAAAGAATTTATTGTTGTTGTTTTTTTTTCAGTTATGGAGATGCCACTCTATTTTCAGCCGTTGTCTGCATTATTCTCTTCACTCAGCCATTTTGTCTTGAAAAATAATAAAAAGTATTACATACACATTTGAATTTGGTGCTTTTATTAATTTACTTATCATAGTATGCACAGTCACAATACCGTATAAGACAATTAGTAGTGTTACATAAACTTTTAATACATTCCACAGATATGTTTGCATGGGTCAGCTTGGATCACATGTCATCAGGGTGGAAGTTTACGATCATATCTGTGGGCAGTGGCCTTGTTAGGTCAGCTAAAGATCTGTGTTATATCTCCAGCAAACTTCTATTCACCCTACGCCCCTAGTTTCCCCACGCACACCTCTAGCAATAGCTTTCTTTCTGTCTCTTTTTGCCCTTCTTGCCTTTGGTCTTCACTTTTATCGTCCTTTATCTGACTTTATATATGTGCCTGTGTCCAAATCTCTCTTTTTCTTTTTCAGACCACTCCTTTCCCTGTTTCCTCCTAACCCCGCTGAAGCACTGGAGGGCAATGTGACAGACTAATCGCTTTCCTTGTCCGAGCCTGGTGCTGTTTGCCTAGCAGGGCCAGATTAAAGTTCACAGATAGAGAGAGGTTCCTGCTTAGGCCAGGTGTTGACAGTTGAGATAAAGCAGAGTTGCAAGGAAGTGAGGCTGGTTGGGTGGGTGTTGGGAGAGAGGAACCCTGTGTGTGTGTTCTTGCACATATACACACTTCTAATCTTTAGCAGGGGGGTTACTCCCGCCCGCTAATCTAAGATCACCCAAGTTCAATGTCAGGAGTACAACAATGCTTTGGTCCACAAATCCTGCCACCAATCAACCCATGCATAGCAGACATACTTTTCCCATAGCAGACTCTTGGCCCTTGCCTGCAATTCCCTGCCTTCCTCCTCCTCCTCCTCCATACATAAACATATATCCTTAACTCCTAAATTTAACAGTCACTGCACTCTGACTGCAAAGTTTTTTGTCTTGTTTTTTGTGAGTTTTACATATTAAAAAATGCTTATAATCTTAGACTAGTTTTGTTCATGAAATTTGGGAAAATAATGTCAGAGAAAATAAAGAATATATTATACTAATCTTACAAGAATTCTCAGTAGGAGGGCAAGAAATGTATTCGTTTATTATGCTAATTAAAAGACTTCACAAAAAGTGCCGTGAAGATGAAGATTACTACCTTCCTCTTTTACTTTTCCTATAATTTATCTTTCTCATTCGCACGTGTTTGATGCTGTAAAGGCCTCCCAGCATAGCTCTGGAGAGCGCGTCCAGCAAATAGCAGGGACGCTAAATCAACTCTGTAATCCTCCCAATATGCTGCTTCTCCCTGCCCAATGCTCCCTCTCTGTCTGTTCCTCTACCTTGCTCCTTTTCTTTATTGCTTCTTTTTCCTTCCTGTGTCAGCTGTCACTGGATTGTGCTTATTTATCTCTCCCAACCCCCCGTTATTCATTCCCTATATTTTATAGATTCTCTCATGCTTTATTTTTGTTCTTGCCTCTGATTCAGCCTAATTTTTTTCTTGGGTCTGAGCCTAACTCACGAGTGTCAGTAGAAAAGGCTGAAGAGCAGAGATGGCGTAGCAGACTGCAGCTGTGCCGGGGTGCAGCGAAGAGGGGCCTCGTCCGGACTCCTTGGAACAATATAAAAGCACTAATCACCCAGGACAGCTGACACCCAGTGCCTCACACATATACACACCGTTTCATAGACACACTCACACATGCACAAAGATCTGAGGATTGCCATTATAGGGTGGAAGGAGAGAGCTCTGCCCAGACAAGACTTGCAGGTCTGGCCTGGCTGGAAAACAAAGTCTGTGTTTTGTCTATGGGCAGCAATGCTTCAGGGCTGAAAGTGATTTCTCATAAACACGGACATATGTATGTACAGTGTGACTATGCACGCAGATGCTTATATCTGCTACACAGCAGTCATGTATAGAACACACGCATGAAAATTTAAAAGGCAGTTAAGTACAGAGGGGTATAAAGGAAAATTTACCCCCATGCATGTTTGTATGCAGACAGAC